GATCAACATGGAAAGAAAACTGTGGGAGAGATGTGGACGGAGGCCCAGATAAAACATTATCCACTAACCAGTCCATGAGAGCTAGAAGAACTTGTCTGTTTGGAAGTGACATGAAAAGAACCACGGCTGCCATATTTTGTCTCAGATTTTTTGTACAGAGAGGTATATTTTGTATTGTTTTGTGAGTTCTATGCATACCTACTGACAATATATTTATTTGCTGATTTTTGTAACAATGCATTTGTAACTGTAGAAAAATAAAAATGATTGATTATGGAGCAATAAGGCTGTCACAATCCTAATGGATTATCTGGTTTTCAGTGCAATTTCATTTTATGCAGTACCTTCAAGGACCACTTGATTGCTGTGGTGCTGTTTCAGGCGAAATATCTCACTTGATTGCTGTGGTGCTGTTTCCAATACTGCAGTGGCCAAAGCCCTGATTGGCTGTTAATTACATTCTGGTTCACAATTTATCTCTATTTGCAATATTGCCGCATAAGAAATTGCTCTGGCACTGAGCTCCATAACAAGCACGCACAACAATTTGCAAATAACGCTGAATACCCTAGATAGCGATATGTCACACTACAAATCACAGAAATCGATGACAATGGTGGAGAAATTTAATTTCTTTGGCCAAAAACGTTCTCAAGCTACAAAATGGCAACGGGGACTCAGACGTAAGCCTCTCGACTACCACGACAGAACACACACCCGCCACCAACACAGCAATCATCACCAAAGAATTTCTAGCACAGGCCCTCAACGCCCTGTCTAACAAGCTGATAATCTCATGGCAACATACGGCGGATGCTCTCAGGAAGGACGTACAAGAGCTGGGCACCCGCACTTCCCATGTGGAAAATAAGATGAGTGAATACGCCTCTGCCCATAATGACATGTCCAACCATGTCCAAAGTCTGGAACACAAAATTGAACTCCTACAGTCCAGGATGGCTACGCGAGGAGGAACAATTTGAGACTGCGAGGAGTGCCTGAATCCGTGTTACACATGGACTTGCAAGCCTATATACGAGGCCTACTTCGGGACTATGCACCAGACATACCAGCAGATATGCTCCTAATTGATCGGGTGCACCGCGTCCCAAAACCACGCCATCTACCGGATTCGACTCCACACTACTTCCATATAAAGGAACTTGTCTTGAGAGCCTGCTGCAACAAAAGTACACCGCACGAGGAATACCGTGAGGATCTTCGCTGATCTCTCCGCAGCAACACTGAAGTGCAGGAAAAGCTTCCAAGCAGTGGTAGATGCCCTATGACACAATGGAATCAGATACCGCTGGGGATACCCGACAAAATTACTGGTCACACGTGAAGGAGGCATCAAGCCAATTTTCACCCCAGAAGAGGTCCTAGACAAATTGAAGGAATGGGGCATACCATTCCAACAAGATAACGCCGCGACAACTTCACAAAGAAAACGACACCCAGAATGGCGTAAAGTACAAAAATGACTGGTATAGCAACAAACGTTTCATAACCAGCAAGTATCGCACATATTCATGCCAAGTTAAATGTTACTATTGTCTGACCACGTTAAAATGGTTTAATGGTGTTACTGCAAACAGGGCACCAAAAATCACGCTACTGTTTCAATGACATACAACAATTACCATACTTGTAGGTCCCATGAACTGGCCTAACAATCCCATATCCACAGTATCACTTATGTTATTCTTTTACACTACCATCCTATACTATGTGTAATTTTCCATTATTCTGTGGTTCGCAGTCTCCAAATAATGCCATCATGAAACGCCACTCAGTTTATGCCCAGGAGTAATACCACCTCTCCAAACTCACGGGCTTAGTGGATGGGAACCTACCACCTTGCAAATGATAATCCCAAGCCACATTGTTTTAGATGCACGATTCATATGGCCCTACACTCCAGCCACCTGTTTGTTGATGTAAAAGGAGGGAAAGGAGAGGAGAAAAGAGGGGGGAAAGAGAGAAAAAAAAGTTTTCCCCCTACAAAACCCAAACCACTGACATAGAACTCGTATAACTATGGTTTGTCTTGTTCTGAAATAGGGGATATGCCTTTGCACACAGTTGGATTACTTTTATGATTACTTACTTGTATGTTATTATTATTTTGTATTTCCCTTTTGTTTCCCAATCAGCTGATACTTGTATTAGTTAAATACTTACGCTACCTAGTTAAATACTTACTATACCTGATCAAGGGTCAAGCTGATACTTGTATTCGTTAAATACTTACTGTCAGGATCCTATCCTGACAACCAAGGATTATGTTTCTTTTATTTCTATTTCTTTAATAACAAGTTCTAGTTTCCCACCACTACTGGCCTCCCTAACCACTAGAAATGAACTTACCTTCATCATCTTTACCTGCCTGGACTAATTACAAATCTTACATAAGGCTACACCCTACTCTGAACAGGGCCTTTACCACGAAGTTGATGGTCAACTAGATAGACTTCTGTTCCTGGCTCCTCTAATCATACTTATGGACTTACCTTCTTTGCTACATTCTTATTGAAAACCAACCTGATCTACGTTATCATCCTTTTGTTACCAGCCTACTTTATTCCAAACTGAACTACTCTAATAATCCAGCTTTATTACCAACCTGCTCCATTCCAACCTGAACTACGCTACTAACCTGCTTTATACATCCCTGATCTACACAACCAACCCGCTCTCTACCAACCTGCATAACACCAACCTGGACTTCACTACCATCTAATATTGCATGGTGTTATTTACCTGTTTTATCAGTGCTCCTTCCAACAAGGGGCTGATTCACTAAACTGCTATTTTACGTTTAATTCTGAAACCTTACTGTTCTGTTCTATTTTACTTGTTTTTCTATATACCCTAGACTTTGATCTATATGTGTTTGCTAGTATTTAATTATATCTTGATAACAACTTGCCTGGGGCATATTGCCTAAACCTCTGTTTCTATTATTTTACCTTCTACCATTTTAACTATAATTTTGTTTATAGGTTCTATTTATCTACCTTTGCCTATAATTTCATTTATAGGTTAACTTTCTTTCCAGTACCTATAATTTCGTTTATAGGTTCTCCTATTTTTCCTCCTTCCTGCTACCTTACTATGTCCAAATTCACCAATAAAGAACCTAATGTTAACTCTGGCCAAAGTCTCTTATCTGACCTGCTCAAGGCTTAATGTAAGCCTATATAATATTGCAGCTCAAAAAATAGTTCAGTCTTAGAGCTCTACAGCCACTTCATTGGAGAATGTTCGTTTCTCATACCCCCATGGTGCGTACTCTCCACATCATGTCCCCTTGGGAGGATACACAGTTCCTTTTACCCCAGTTTTTTCCCCCCTCTCCCGTGTTACTCTTTACCACTTCCCCATTTCCAACATCCGACATGGAAGAATCCTCCACACTGCCATGTCTTGACCTATGTATCAAACAGCCTGCTTCCAAAATGAAATGCTTACGACAATCACCGTATAGTCACAACTCACAACCCCCCAATCATGAAAATACAATCACATAACACAAAGGGATTAAACCACCCGTATAAGCACCGTATCCTCATCGAGGAGGCAAGGAAGGCCAAAATAGATGTAAGGCGGGCAAAAATATGTCACGAACAGGGTTTCCCAGTTTGGCCTATGTGAATACCTGACCAAATACCATGCTACCCAAACTTGCAAAATGAAAGGGGTCTCCTTCCTAATACACCACTCTTTATCCTTTGAGCTATTGCAGCTTAAAAAAGACAATCAAGGGAGATTCCTCATCTTACACTTCATGATAAACGATGCAGAATATACTCTGATATGATCACCCAATAAATTTTCTACAAAAAGTGCTCACCAAGCTTCCCATAGCACCTTCTAACTCACTCATTATCTGTGGAGACTTTAATCATGTCTTTGATTCACACACTGACTCAACCCTGCCAGACACATCCCCTAGACACTCTGCACTACGGGCGCACAGCAAAGCCCTGATTAAACTAATTTATGAACATGATATTTATGATGCATGGAGAACATTTAATCCCACTGGAAGAAAATTCTCCTTCTACTTAAGCGTGCACAAAAAATTCTCCAGAATAGACTATACCATGGTATCCGGCCACCTCCTTCCCTGGATCACACAGTGCTCTATAGGAGACATAGTGTGGTCAGACCATGCACCATTCACGCTAACTCTTCCTTCGAGACCAATTTCCACACAGGGGACAAGCACCGTGACATCTCAATGACTCCATTCTGCAAGACCCCAAGTTTCTTACTCAATTGACAAAATCTGGAGGACTACTTCACCATGAATAACACCCCAGATATCATCTCTCTCTCTCTCTCTCTCTCTCTCTCTCTCTCTCTCTCTCTCTCTCTCTAGCAAGCCCATAAACCTACCATTAGAGGCATAATAATAAGTCGATCCTCATTCGTGAAACGCAAGTCCCACCCTGAATGTATTGAACTACTATGTTCCCTAAGAGATGCAACAAGCGCACACCTTATGCAGCCAGCAGACCAGCACCTAAAAACCATAGCTGACACAACTAAGTGCATAAATGAAATACATCTAGCCAAAAATCCCACATACTCATACTCAAAATGTGACATTACTCTCAGGGTAATAAAGCAGGGAAATTGCTAGCAACAATGCTGAGAAAGAAACAAGCACAATTCCAAAATACCACAATACAAGCACATTCCAAAATACCATATCTAATCTCAAACACAAACAAAAAAATGTACAACCGCCAGGACATAAACAATGAAATGGCGACCTTTTACCACACCTTGCATAATTTGAAAAACAATGAAGCAATACAACACCCAACTGAATGAGAGATTGAAAATTTCATAAATCTTACCAAACTGCCAAAATTAACTCCACAACAACAGGAGATATTACAGAAGATTGTAACATGCCAAGAAATATTACAAAGCATAGCTTCCCTAGCATCAGGGAAATCCCCTGGGCCGGATGGCCTCACAAACTAATACTACAAACTTTTCTCTCATATTCTAGCCTCGAAGTTAGAACTGGTATATTATCACATAATAAACATGGGCGACATGCCACACAAGATGCTGACGGCACATTTGGCTACTCTCCATAAACAGGAGAAACCCCCCACCAAAAGCCAAAACTTGCGTCCAATTTCACTACTCAACACGGACACCAAGCTACTCGCTAAAATGATTCCCACAATTATACATGCA